ACCCCCCCAAAATCGCACTATACGAACTCAGCGCTACTATCCACAAGGTTGTGCGACGCACCGTTCAGGCTGTAGGGCATATGTGCTGAAAAAATCCAAGATGGCGGAGGACGTTTTTTGGCTGGTCTCAGTTTTCACTACTTTTTAATTTCTGAGTGACGTTTTTGGGCGGGGATTTCATCGGATGGGTCGCTTGACACTCCGACTGCATATTTAGTACTGTTTGGCACGCCTTGTGTTTAAATATCGCGCCATACCGGGCGATGAGGTCAATGACTCCGATCGACTCCGATTGTGTTCGGGCATACAAAATGTAATGGTTTTCTTTTTACAAGAGAAACTGGATCAATATTTTGCATATGCCACCCCCCCTCAAGTACAAGCAAGATGACGTATCTACATACATACCAGGTGACTGATTCACGCCGCGCACTTCTGTAGCTGTACCACATGCACGAGTGCGGGCGGGATGCCTACTCGCTCGGCTCGTAAGGCACCGTGGACAGGGGCGATAGGCAAGCCGGCCCGCACTTGTGCATGCGGCACAGTATACCTACAGAAGTGCGCGGCGTGAATCAGCCACCTGGTATTTAGTTTCAGTATGAATCGGATTCGAAAGGCAGAGCTCACACCCGAGTGTATACCGGTAGTCCCGACAAAAACCCGAGTGTAACCGAGTAATGCCGAGGATAATCCGAGAGTACTCGAGTAGGTCCAAACATAACCCGAGTGAATCTGAGTACTCCCGACCACAACCCGAATGTAACCGAGTAGTTCGGAATGCAACCCGAGTGAATGCGAGTAGTCCCGACCACAACCCGAATGTAACCGAGTAGTCAGGAAAGCAACCCGAGTGAATGCGAGTAGTCCCGACCACAACCCGAGTGTGACCGAGTAGTCCCGAACGCGACCCGAGATCGGCGCAGGTAGCAGGACCAAATTGCTCTTGATTTCAGTGGCAATGCTCTTGGGAGCAGCACTTGAAAAATGCTCTTGTTACAAGTGCACGTGGTATTGTAACAAGAAGAAAAACAAGAGCACATTTATAAGAGTTGTCTTACACTTGATTCAAGAAACGATTTTTCTGGGTGCAGGGTTTCGCATTTTCATCTCAAAACGAATACGACGTATGATAGTAACGTATACGCTCAGCCGAACCGCTGGTTAGTTTTTCAATAATACTGCACATTCATTGCAGAGTGACAACAATGCGGTCACGCTTTGCTGTTTCCCCTGAAGTGCACGGATTTATTGAACGTCGTTACCTACTAAAAGTTGTCCTTCAAGTTAACTTTGATAATCTCTCCCTTATTTTCAAAATAATGTTTAAGAGTGCAATGAATCACATTTTTAAAAATATGTAAAGTTGTTGTAGGTGTGATTAGGTTGCCCACAGGGTGCGCTCAGTAGGACGAGGTTTGGGTCCTGCTTGTCCTCCCGCGCTGACATCTCACGCCCGGAGCGTGGGCCGCGGGGTGAAACCGGACACCTCTGCAACGCAAAGTGTCGCCTTCGACAAAGTGTCGCAATAATGTCCTCACCTCTTCGGTAGCAGTGTAGCCTCCCCAAACGCGTGCGCCCCGCGCGTGTCGTGAATAACGAGAGATGGAGGAAGTAATCTCAGCCAAGGACCGAGGGATGAGATGGCGTGTCTGTCGTGATGGAGGAGCGGCGCCCCGCAACGCCTTGTGCGAAGCATATCACATTATTGCAAATAACATGTGCAAAAAATAACAAACAAAATGAAAACGACTTCGACTTTAAACTTGCTCTAAACGTTACACTGGGAAGATTCACGTTGTCTTAAGTCACGCGTGATTTAATGTGTTGTTTGATAACTTTTTTTTTTCTTCATTTTAACTCGTTCTTTTTCCGAAACATTTTGTAATTTCCCATACACTTCCTATGTTCCAAAACTCTGCAATTTTGAACAGTTTAACAGTTGTAAGAGGCGAACTAAAATGCCCTGCAGTTGCAACTGCACCTCCCACATCCTTTCAGCCGGAAATAAAATAAAAAAGCGCCTGAACGGTTGTGGGCATAACCGGGGTAGGTTATCGTGCTTGCCGACGTGTCTCCGAATGCCATACAGGTCGGGGTCAGCCGGGCGCCTTTGCTGGCACGGGCCGTGTCTCCAGGTCACACGACAGTAGGCGCGACACCTGTCTTTAATTTCGACAGCAAATGATGATATTTTAAGCCAGATCGTGCACCTGCCTTACTCAAGTACTCACTCCATTTCGCGTCGCGTTCGGGATTAGAGGAACAACACCTCGCTTCTCGTTGCGAATACTTTAATTGGGGGGGGCTGAGCCGGCGCGTGCCGCAACCTGGCGGGGAGGCAGCGGGTGGGGATTGGTGCTAATGTGGCGTTTGTTCAGTGCCAACAGAGTGTGGAATCAGACAGACCTTTCATGTCTTGTGGAAAAAAGTGCGTTTCATTAAATAGGCAACTTTTCTGTTAATTCAAACACTGATATGTTCAATGTCGACTTATCGGTCATTAATGACTGATATTAATATTATTATATTAATGCAATTGCATTTATCGTAACTCTGTACTAAGAGAAAATATCTCGTAAATTTACGATAAATTTTGTAAATTACTGTTTTTCAAAATATGTTGTCAATTTACAAAAGACCATTCATTGTTGCTCGTCGATGAATTCCCAGACGAAACGTACAGGTTGTAATGTTACAGTTTTAAATTGTAAGATTACAACACGATTTAAGGAATTTTCTCGAAAAGTCTACATCTACTTTTTTACGATGATATATCCTGTCCGTCTATAGAGGTAACCTTAGTAAAATAACAAACATAATATAAAAAAGAACCGATTGGTGCTTTATGACGGACTGCACCGAGGGTGAACCTCCGAAACGCCGCCCTCCTATGCGCCACACAATTTTCACTCGATGGCTGAGCTGTGCTGCAAGTGCCCGCCCCGCCCCACCCCGCCTCCCGCCTGCACAGCACACATCACACGCTGGCCCGACCTTTTCCTGCCTGTCCCTCTTCTCCTCACGCAGCTCGCGATGTAACGCCCTGATAACGGACGTAATGAATGGGCGCGGGTCATCCATCAGGTGACTCTTCCTACACTAACAACGGAAATGCACTCGCGAGCCTTAATCTCAAATCAATTTGAAGAGGACAAAGGCCCTCACGCAACCTCGAGCAATATCGAAAAATATCTCATTAAAATCTGCTCGGTCTGCACTCTTAAATTCTTACAAAGAAAATTCTTGTATTACAAAGGATTTTGTGCAACTGTAATACAAAGCCAAATTTTCTTTGTAATACAAAGAAAAATCATTGTAATACAAAGAAAACTTTTGTGTAATACAAGGAAATTTCTTGTAATACAAGGAAATTTCTTGTATATTACGGTTGCACAGAATTCTTTGCATTATACGAACAAATTCTTTGTAAAAGATTTAGAGTGTGCTGGCCGTCACCATTGACACCATTTCAAACGCGTCCTGGAGGACTTAAGCCACGCCCAAAGCCAGAGCGCGGCTGACGTGCTGTGCCGGTAAAGCACGCCGTTGTGGGAGGAACACGACGGGGTGACTCCTCCGTCAATCGGCGGCGATGACTAGGCTAGACCGTGTCATCCCAACAAATCTCGATCGAGAAGTCCCAACAACACCCACGCCACTCTCTCTCTCTCTCTCTCTCTCTCTCTCTCTCTCTCTCTCTCTCTCTCTCTCTCCCTCCCTCCCTCCTGATGGCTTTACAAGCATGTGAGTGTCAGGAGACAGTTCCCGCTCGCGAATAGGTCACGCTGCACGCCAGTAACAACTTCATTTTAACTGCCAGCCGATTGTTTTTGTCACCAGTTTAGTACTGCATAGCTCGGCGCGCTGGCTGTGCTGCGCCGCTGCGTTGGTTCGGGAGGAGAGGTCAGACGGCGTGCCCGGCGCGCTCACTGCTCCGCCAGCCACGCCCCTGCGTTTACGCGCACGCCTCGGTCGGGTCTATTTAGTTGCGTGCAGCTGGGTCAAGACAGTGGGCAAACTATCATACAGTTTAGGGTTCCCCGTTGTGAAATTAGGTGAGAAAAATATTAACGAATTTGCAAATAATAAATTTCGTATCATGGTATCCTATGATGTTCTTTAAGGCAAAATACACTAACCAAACTGCAAATCAGGACATCTTTTCAAGTACCCGGAATTATATAACTATTGACTAAACATACTAGACATTTCATACTTATTAGTTAGAGCCGCGCATCTAAACTCAGAAAATTTCATAACATCCGATACATTTCGTAACAGTGCGTTTTGTGCTATAATTGATCGAGAGATTGGAAAACTTTCTGTTATCTGGTAAAATAAAAGTAGTAATACAAATGAATTCCTTTATAAGTTACAAAACAAAACCCGAAACGCCTGGTAGTCACGACGCACAATTTCTTGTAAACACTTTGGAGTGTACGCACACACACACACACACAAGTCATTGGACATGTCGTGTGGCTTTCCTCTGTGCGCACTGTGTGGTTGTGCCACCCTCGCATGTCTGCAATTTGTTGCCGAAAGGTGCGCACCACAGACGCTTCTTGGGTTACCTCCAGAACATAGAGGTGTTGTCCGATTGCGGTTACGGTAGTCGGACGGCGACCTTTGGGCACTGAAGCTGTGGTGGGTGGGTGAGCTCCTTACTCAGAGGGTTGGGTCAAGCATCACGTGTGTGTGTGGGGGAGGGGGGGGGATTGGCCCGGTTTTTCCGTCCCTTAAATCACGACAATCGTCAATAACATAACCCTCGTAAATTATCGATTCTTAGACAAATCCTCATTCCACAATCAGTCTAGCACATATTGAGGAGATACTGTTTGTGATAGACGGACAGACAGACTCACGACGAAGACATCGCCTGATCCCTCAACGACAGCAATTCTCGTAGATACTTTTGTTGAAGTTAAAGTTATTTGGACACTTGCTATTTTAAAACAACTTGTTAAAAAATACAGTAAATCTGAAAAACTTACCGGCTGCCAGCAGAAGAATCACAGACCCCCTCATTGTGTCATCCAGTACGCCGCCGCAGCTGCAACAGGAATATGTTGTTACTCTTAAATACATCCCATAAAGCACAAGCTGAAAGAAAACACATACTTTAAACAAATCCCTCATCAGGTTTTACTACTGTGAGCCAAAGTAGGACACACGGATCCACAAACCACATTCTTCCATTTCGCTCTCGGGAGTCGACTGGTTAAACGCACTCGTCTTAAAGTTAGTGGCAGCTTACATGCTTTATGGCTACTTCACAGCAGAAAGCTATAGAGAGCACTTGTGTGGGCGTGCGTCAAAATGTCACGCACCCATCAGTGCGTTCAGAACAATCCAAAATTCCGCATCTATGTTTTTAACCTTGTTCACGCTGCACGGCCTACGACCAGATTCTTTGCACTTTTCTGTTTCCACAACATACTATAGCACTGTATCATAGGGAACCGATACAAAGATTTATATTTGAAACTTAACAAGTAAAAATATGCGCGGAACACTAGTGCCTTCAAGCACAAGTACTTGCGGAATAATCGAGAAAGTCCCCGCTTACTCATCATTTTCTCAACCGAACTCACAATTATTCGCTATGCACTCGCATCAACTTGCGAATACTCGTGATTAATACTTATTTTGTGTCCACCATGAGAAGAACCGCTTGGAATGGTAAGCAACCCGAGGGGTGGACGACTGGGCGGCTCCTGTGTACAGGCCAAAATGTACTCCAGGTGTTCTCCGATTGTACTCCGACTGTACTCCGTGTACTCCGGCTGTTTTTGTCGCAAGTTCTCCGCGTACTCCGACTGTACTCCGGGTGTACTCCAGGTGTACTCTGCGCGCTCCGACCGGCAATACTCAGTGTTCTCCGACTGTACTCCGTGTACTCCGTACTCCTGTGTACACGAAAAATTCAAGTCGCCCACCCCATGAAGCAACCGTCTTCACGTATGCTTTTTCTAAAGCGCTGACTTTTTTTCAGGTTTTCTGCAGAAAGTAGAACACCGCTGAGTCTCTTGCCAGAAACCAGATCTTCTCAGTCGCTCGCCCACTAGCAGTGCCTTCATTTGCTCTGTGTCACCCCCTCCCCTACTCTTCTCGAGCGAGGAACGCTCAATCGTGCTCGCCTTAGCCGAGTGTGTGAGTGTGTCAATAGCGGAGACATGACTGACCTATCTCAACACTCCGGGGAGTGTTCCCAGAAGCTCACTCAGACCCGGCAGGCACGCCGAAGCTGCATCTACAGTTAAAAATTTACTGAAGAATAAAAGTCTCTCAAGACCATAATTATGGTCGGCTGTATTTTTTTTTCTAAACGAGAAATGCCCTCTTTCAGAAGATGGCCAAAATCATTGAGTATCGTTTCTCCATATCAGTACAACGCCGCCCTGCAAACTGACGTTTTACATGGAATGTTCACAGAACCCAGCATGCAACATTGCATATGCACTAAATATCTCATAGTTGGTTTTCTTTCAGTATTCCAAACAGCTTTGTAAAAAAAGTTACACGTTTGGAAAAATTTTGTCTGAGGAGGCAAGGATAATTATTTTAAAATAATATCATTGCATGAGGAAGGCCATGTTGTTTCGACGTCGAGCTTGCTGCCGAATTCCACCGTCCCTCAAAATCGCCATTGTGCCTCCTCGGATTCCGGCTTCACGCGTGCAACTGCTGGGTTTACAGCTATAGCAACAGTCTACCTGCCGGAAACACTGTTGCTATAGGCAGCCGACTTCACAAGCGCACATTTCCAGGTGCGTGCTTGATGGCACGCTCATCCCTCTGTGCGAGCAAAGCTGACAGCTGAGTTTGCAGTCTTAACAGTACATGACAAACTCCTTGTGACGACATTCCTTTTAAAGCAAATGAAGTGGTCCACGGGAGGGCCGCCGTGTCGACAGCGGTGGCACGTGAGGGAGCTTTACACTTTACTGGGTCACTCACTGTGACACACACCCGCACACACGCCCCTCCACTCCTAATGACTGCGCCGCGGGTGTCGGGAGTGCGAGCGCCGGCCCGGTAGTGCCGTGTGCGACATTCACGCACTTGTGTGGCGCAGAACGTGCAGTCTGAATATGCCGTCGCCTGGCGAACACGAGGGGTCGTTCGGAGGTCGGCGAGCGCGACACGGGAAGTGCAGCAGAACCCTACTCGATTACACGCCGTGCACTGCAACACGATGTCACTGGAAGGCGCCAGCAGTAATAATTATAAATCGTGTTCTCTTCTCTCTCGCTCTTCATTGCCTCTCCAACTCGACAAAGCGGAACCGTTTCCTCCACATGCCGGGCCAGGTCTTCGGGTCGTAGGGCGCTTCGCCGACTGAGTCGTTTCAGGCTACTGTGAAGTGAAAATGCTATCTTCTTATCTAAAGTGCATATTTTAACTACATTTTTAGGCATTATTAGTATCGATATAATTTACATTTTAGCATATACAAATCCTCTCAGGTGGATTTTCTCCTCTTTCGAATGGCACCAATATAACCATTTCGGTGAAAGAGCGACTGAAGCGGTTAACCATAAGGCTTCCCGCAAAGAGCGCTTGTCGGGAGAGTCAAACGCGGTAAGAGTATGTTCCCAGCCGCTGAGATGGTGGGAGTGAGTGACTTTACATATGGGGTATCGACTCCTTAAAAACCAAGAGCTACGCCACCCTCAAAATATTTTAGGCTTCAGCCACTCTGTCAACTCAAATGAGTACATAGTACACATTAATTAAAGCATACATGACATGTACACTTTCTTTAATGTGTACCATGTACACATTTGAATTGACAGAGCATACACACACACATTAACTGCACTGGGAGAACAGAGGTAGGAGTGCCTTTAAATGGGGCCAAATCTTAATGGCCATATTAGAAAGGCACGAAAGCGTCCAAGTGTGCAACTCCTCACAACTCTCGTACCAACAGTTGCATGCACATGTACAATTGATAAGCAGTTGCTGCACACATGGTTTATCAGTGTTGAGAGTTAGAAGCATTGGCCGAGCATTTAATGCCATCAAGACGGCCAAAGACTTGCTCAGCAGATAACGCCCAACAACATGCAAATCAATTTCACAATAACCTTGACAATAAAGTATGTTGTCTTGACACGTTTTATTGTTGTAAGTAATATTAGTGTTTTGGCAAATATAACAGCAGATGTGTGGCGTGTAGTCCCGCGATGCACTCTGAGATGCAGCAGGAAAGAGCCGTGAACAACTATCCGCAAAAGCGGGGTAGACTCTCCTCTTTCCCGTTATTTCGTTTATTCCGGAAGCTTGGCCCCCTGTGCCCCTGGCGGCCCCCGCGGAGGCCCCCGGCCGCGCTGTGGGGGCTGCGCGGGGCTGCGCTGGGCCGCCCAGGACTGCCACGTAATCCCCCGTAATGCAGCCCGACCCCGCGCAGCCTGTTATTAGATCGGCCGAGGATCCGCTCTTTAAGTCTGATTAGCTTCCGACCGGTCGCGGCCCGGCCCGCCCGTCCCGCGGCATCCACACCTGTCCGAGGCGCACAACGGGACGAGCTGTCGATTATTGAATCAGCCGCCGGCCGGTATGGTGACCGCCGCTGCCGCCACCGGACCCCGGCCGCCCCGTAAACGTCCCCGAGGTAATTTATGAACGCACTCGCGCCGCCCATCCGTCAGCCGCCGCCTCCCGCCGCCGCCTCCCACCGCGCCCCCGCCAAAGCGCCGCGCCGCACGCCGGAAGAGCTACTCTGCTGACGACACAAGCTTGCCCGCCTAACATGTCCGTTTTGCTTTTGTTTACAAAGGCATACTGCACCGCCGAGTGTCAAGGAAAGTGTCACGTTTTTACACGTATCTCGTTTATTTATTGCAAGCAGTAACAGGCAAGACGTAAAACAGAACAAAATTTGACAAAACTGATTTTGTGCTAAGAAGTTATGTAGAGCGTTTAGTACCATTTAAAAAGTCCGTCCGTCCTTCGTCGTAGCGAAACTACAACTACGTAACTTCAGCCCACGAGAGCCATCGTCTACGCTCTCGTAGCGCCTGATAGGTAGGCAATATCTTTTCTGCAGTGCATGCGTGCGTTGCGGGGTGGCCTACCCCGAGTATCTCAGGCGCCGTGTCCTGCTGGAATGTGCCGAAATAAAAAGACGCACGTTTTCAACGAGGGAAAAAAAAGAACAAGTACTGTTCTCGGTACAATGTTTCAGTCTTTCTGGTGTTAACGTTGCCTGACTTGCACGGCGCTGCAAAAAGCGGACACATATCCAGCTGTGCCCAGGATCAAGGGCTAGTCGAATATTTTTTCCGATGCAATAGCAAAATTCTGGTTTTAACTTTCGTTTTTAGAATATTTTGGCGACGACAGATTTTAAAGTGTGGTACGTGAAATTGGGGACGCCGCGAAAAGCAATAGTTTTACTATTACTCAGAAAACATTGCAAATATATTCGGTGAAAGTGGATCACGATGGGCGACCCGGCGCGCGCCCGTCTTATCTACCGAGCGCATTCCGAGTGATTTAAAGCTGTGCGCTTGCGAGGCAGAAGGAAGAGAGAGAGAAGACGGTCCCCAGCAGGCTGATGGCTTTGGTTACGTCCCGCGCCGGGCTGCGTGCGCTGCACTCATGACTCCGCTCTTCGGACGCGGCCCCGGTCCTCTTCGCAACGCACGCTCCTTCTCCCTCCCATCTCTCTCCGTGCGGGAGTGAGGCTGGGCCTACTGGACCCTGCTTCACAGCACAGGCTCCAGGGTGTCTCCAAGATGACCACTCCCCGCCTTCACCCGCGGTCGCCGGTGCAGTCGCACCCCGGGCCTGGCCCAAGCTCGGCGCCGTACCGCGCTGGTAGTTTCAGTTTCCGATGCTCATTTGTCGCATCCATCTGCACGACGAGCTAGACGCGCCGTCGGGATCCCCGTCATAATAATCCGCACAGGAAGCAACGCAACCACAAGATGCAACAATACATGTTTTTGCTGTCATCTCCGCGCCGTGCCACTATTTCACTCTTTCTTTAGAAGATATTTCATCCCTTTAAAAAATGCATTAAGATGGAGCGAGTCAGTTTCAGTTTGGTGCGTTCCTAATAACTTAGGTCTAGATAGAATGTAAATACCGAATGTCGGTAGTAGACAACTAAAGAAGAAAAGATTCAGGGCGAGTCATGAAAATTTCAGCAAAGTTTGAGCGCTGATCTGGGGCCTGGCTTTACAGTGTCGGGCTGATACCCTTCTACACGTGTGTGCGTTGAAGTCGCGCGAGATATTCAAATGAGACCTCCCCCCTCCCTTCCCCTTCCTCACATGGGTGTTGACGGGGGGCACCCCAGCGGCATTCCCACGGCTAGCGTGGCGTGGCCTGGCGGGGCGGGGCAAGGCGAGTGGGGCGGGGCGGGGCTGTGAGCAGAGCGGAAGGTTCCTGCTCGCCCTTCCGACCCTTAGGCGGTGGAAGGGAAGGGGGGCCCCTTAGCAGGCGGGGGCGTTGCGTGACCACTACAAGACAGAGAGAGAGAGAGAGAGAGAGAGAGAGAGAGAGAGGGGGTGGGAGTGCCACAGACAAGGGCCGCTGTGCCGTGTGGGTCAGGGCGCTCCAGTACTCCCCCACCTCTCTCTCTCTCACTCCCGCGCAGGTGTAAATCACGCCAGATTTACACCACTAGTCTGCGCGAGGCGCTGCCCCGATTGGCCCAATAACGTGCCACTCAGAATATGAAGCATGACATCGGCGAAAGATAAGCGGATGGCACAAGTCTGGATAAACGTGTTCTCTTCCCAAGCGCTGGGCATCTATATCAATACAGACATTGCAACGTTGCTTCGAGGTGTACTGCACCCCAGCATGAACAAAATAGAGCACGTTTCATTTCTGCACTCTCAGCCGGCTACAGACAATCTAGTCGTTTTGCACATCACCAATGCTCATAAAATTGCCACTACTACATACAAATTTCATACACATAGTGATTAATTTACAAGTTACAAAGCAATCTGAATTGCGAACGATATTTGCTAGTATTACCAGAACTTTCATGAGTACTACTTTTGCACGGCAGTAACCGCTGTGCAAACAACTTGTCTGTATATATTCAAAATGTCAGTAACAGGCTGAGTGTGTGAAATTTCTTCATACTTAATTACCATAACATTCTATGGTCATTTTCGTGGTATTGGTCCGGCACTCGTTTTACTCGAAGTATCCCAAATTTCTCTCAAAACTCAGTCTATGTTTTCACCGTGTAAATTCGTGTTGAGGTTGCCTCCGGGTGGTCGCCTTGGCCCGGGTTGCTCCAGTGCGCTTTGCGTGCGCCGAGGGCAGCGGTAGCTAACAGTACCGATTGCAGATAGGCACGTGTCAGTGTCAGTACGTCTCCGCCCGGCGGTGTTGACCATTTCGACGCGTCCTAAGAACAAAGTCTGATCTGTTTGCGCGCCCGTCAACAAAGCCCGATCTTTTCGCGCGCCCGTCAACAAAGTCCGATCTGTTTGTGCGACGCTCAACAAAGTCCGATCTGCTTTTGGCCGCGCTCGGGAGGCGGACGTTTGGAGCTTTGTGACAATTCTGTTTCTGTACCTTTGCTTAACATTTTCGGTCTCAGCTATTCTTCAATCTCTTAGGATCACATAGCAGTCATTACTGTTTGTATATTGTCAATATTAGTTAAGATAAAATAAACTAAACCAGCGATGCAGAGCGCGGCCAAAAACAGATCGGACTTTGTTGACGGGCGCGCGAAGAGATCGGACTTTGTTGACGGGCGCGCGAAAAGATCGGACTTTGTTGACGGGCGCGCAAACAGATCAGACTTTGTTCTTAGGACGCGTCGATTTATCACAAATGCAACTCTCATCGGGCTAGGGCTAAGTGAAGACCAAAGTCCAGAAGGGTCATACAATTTCTCTGTAGTGAGTTTGTCTAAAATATAGCGAGATGCGAGTTAGCCCAAATATGAAGGAAAGGGACTAGGGATATGCAGTTTTGCTATTGCCTCTCCTCCAAATACATTGGTAAATGTCTGCGTAGACCAATTACGGATTCAAAAGCTTTGCAATTTTTAAAACATCTGAAAAGCATTGCTTTGCAGGAATTTAACAGTGTACTTTACAGTACCACAGTACCACTTACTAGTACTGGGCACACGATAAAAAAGACACCATGGTTTTCTAGCACTTTTGGAAAAACACAATAAGTTCCCCTGTACTCCTTGCATAAGATGATTCTGGCTGCTTAGAAACCAAGACGTCATTTTTACCATGCGCTGTCACACAATCATTTCGGTTATCTGTTTAGCAACTGCCGGCTCAAAGGAGTACTTCTCCATCCCCCTTCTCATCTAGAAACTTACTTCCTGGGCCCGTGTGGAACTGTTTCGTACCCGGCGCGGCACCTGCGAGCGAAGAAACAACATGAGATATTTTTCGTGATACGATGTTCAGAACAATGTGAGACTTCAAAAAGCGTGCAAGCTATTAAAGCAATGAAGAAATTATCAAAGAGGCGTAAAAATGAAGCCGTTTCTAATTTGCTTTGACGGCTATTCCTCATGGGGAAATAATTGTGCGATTGTGTGTATATGCACAATATGTTCGAAGACGTCACGTAACATTCAGACATCATTTTAAAAACTGCACCGCTATTTCGTGTTTGAATCGCAAAAATTAGTATTTATCACCGAGTTTTTCGGTTAACACATACGGTCCCATTAACACACCCCTCGAAAAGATACACAAAACCATTTTGGACGTTTTCTGTGAACAAAAGTATCTTCGTTTAGCGCCAAGCAGACGGTAATCTCTAAAGTGGACTGCCAGTGCCAGTCACCAAAGTGGACCGCCTCTATCCCGGTCAGCCATCTACGGGCACGAAGTCTGGATAACCTACGGTCTGCACGCGTCACCTCGAGAATTGTCTTCGCTACTTAATGTTCGATTGATAATTCACAGTGTTGAGCAGCCAAAACCAAGCTTTGCTCACCCGCAATTTTGTACAGTTTCGTGCGTTGCTGAGGTCACGACTGGACTCTGAGGTAGGACCAAGGTGGTTCCAGGTTGAAGCCGCTCGAGGATGAAGGCTGTTCGGCCCCAACCGCCGCTCACACACAATTTGACACAATCCTGGCTGGCGGCGTGTGAAAAAAGAGAGAATACATTAGCGTGCGGTATGGAGAGGCATATGTGCCTGCGTGTTCATAAAGAAGCATTAAAAATTCATTCTCCAGTTTTAGGCAGTCGTTTAGACTGACGTGAATGTTTTTTTTTTCTTGTTCAATTTGCTCCTGAACCGTGCTGAAGCAAGAGTGCGCGGCCTCCCGTCGTACTACGTGCTTGTGAGGTCGTCAGGTGAAGGGAAGTAGTATACTTGGGCTTTCGATTCAGGCCTTCCCTCCTCGCACTTTGCCACCCTACCCCACTCCCTCTCCTCCTCCTTTTACCGGCTTGCCGCTGCGCGTCATCTGTTTGAAGGAGCATTGTTCACCGGCACTGCAGCCGTTTCGTAAATCCTCGTTGATGCTATCTGTTGCTTTTTCTCAGGGCTGCCGGCCGGACGGACGCTGGACTTCCCCCTTCTCTCTCTGTCGCACTGCTACTGCGCCCCCCTCTACCCAAAACATCGTTATGGCCACATCCCCATCGTTTGTGATAGTTCAAGACGCGTTTTAAAGAGGAAGAATATTTTCTGTCACGGCAATAATTCATCTTATGTTCTCCCGTTCCCGTCCTCATCAGTGATTGATGAAATTCTTTGATAATTAAAAGTGCATTATGCTTAAAGTCCATCTGTTAAGTGTTTTCGCCGAAGTAGGTCAAAAGTTGCCCACACCCCTGCAGAGAAATGAATTGATGCAGCCAAACCAAGGCGAGTAGTTGGGGGAGGGTAGG